GATTCTAAACAGCTTGCAACTGCAATAAAATTGTCAAAACCCTCTAGTGGACGAATGCACTAGAGCGCTGACCTCTAAACAGCGGTACCCAGGTTCAAACCATGATGAACGGGTGGCTGTATAGAAGTTTTCGTGGTTTTCCCTACGTCTAACGCAAATGCAAACTAATTTCCCATAGAAAGTTTTCCAAGAAAGCGTCCGTTCGCTTAGGCCGATAGTGCTCTTTCATATTCCGCGTAATCCAAACAAATCAAATAAACTGTCACAATCCAGTGTGAGTTTCCCAGCTTTGAATTTGTCATTAGAACTTTAGTTTATCCTAACTTGACTAGCAGTCTGATTTATAATTAACACGTTTCGCCACCTGCTGCGCTATTATTAAATACAAACTGAATTATGCAAAAAGGTCATATAGTTTGGTCTGGGTTAAATGCATCCGGTATAGCATGCTTATATAGCCGTGCACTATTTCCAAGAACTGTACTTGTCTGTTAAGAGAAAATTGTACCTTGAATTATTATTTTTTTGGGGGCAGGAATTGCTTGACAAATTTATAATATTTTCTCTAAGCTGGATACGTCGTTCGCCCCATTGCGAACGCAAAATGGAAATGGGAATTTGTATACATCACTTTACTTTTATTTTATTCCTTATTTTGCAAGTGTTTACTGAATTGCTTATTTAAATTGTGTGAAATGCCATAGTAATTGAAAGTTGCTATGCAAAATTCATGTGAACTACCGCTTCACATAGGAGCTACAAGAAATACTTATTTTACTTTTATATACTCCTCCCTGAGGCTGCATATTTCATAGTACAGGCCCTTCCTTATCGACCGGATTTTAAGACTTCATAATTGATTGCCCTAGGAAACACGTGAAAGAAGAAGTAAAGGCTACATCAAGTCGTAAACTTCTACCCCAACGTGATGATCTCCGATCTCCGAGTATGAGAGCTATAAATCTCCCAAGGCCGAAGGCCATTCAGACTGACTGCCTTTTCATAATATTATAAAATATTTCCTCCATCCTTTTGGCATACTTTCGTGGTGTAATTGGAAGCATACTCGACGCGTATTCGAGAGGCACAGGATTCGAATCCCTGCGATGTCACTGCACATTTTCACGCCTCCTGCATTTATAAAACCTAATTACTCTACAATATCCTCAATAAAATCTCGCCTAAAAGCAAAGGTTTCTCAAATCCCTTTGATATTGATAATGGCGCTTATCAGGAAGCCACCAACACTGCAACTGTAAAGAATTCTGTAGGAAAACTCACAAAAATATAAGGCAACTTATTGCAATAAGAAACCATCTACGTAGGATATGGCAACATACGGTGGGATTCAGCAAAGAAAAGAGTTAAATCGCGTAAGCAAAAAGAAAAAGAAATTAATAAATTCCGTACTGAAAAGGGGGAAGAAAAATTTGCAGAAATAGAGCTAAATAATGGAGCCTTCTGGAAATTTCTCTATCTTAAGAACAAACATAAATGTAAACTGCGAACCCCAATGTCATTAGCAACTTACCACCGACGTACTATACCAGCTGAGAAGAAAATAAAAGGGATTTTATTGAGATAGGAAAAACATACTGTATTACAAATATGAGTATGCAATCCCATGATTGTGTCTGTGGAATAGCTCTTTTCCCTCTGCGTGTAATCCTGTGGAACTAAATATGCACTAAAAGTCTTAAAGAGCTAAGTAATGCCGGCATGGAAAAATCCTTTAGAAGTGTCACTCGTACCTTGTGGAAAAAGCCTGTCATGATAGATAGGACTAAGATTACATAATCAGTTTTCTGTGTATAGAACATGCCTTCCTAGTAAAAATGAGTTCATAGGAGTTGAGACAGTGCTATTTTAAGGGTAGTTTTATTTTTAAATTTAATAACAAAATATGCTGTGAAATGCCCCCCAAAAGGGGGGGGGGAAATGCACAAAAATGCATGTCATCATAATGCGGCCTTGGTGTTTTCAATGTAACTAAAATCCAACATCTCGAGACATATTGCTTATTATTTTGTGATATTATTTATTTGGTTGTAGCTAAATAATTTAGGATCTCTGAATTCTGATATAAGGACAACCTTTAAAAATATCTCAGATAGACTCTTATTTTCTTGGAACATCATCTCCTGCTCAGAATAAACTTGACTTTTTTTCCCCCTGCCAGTTTTGATATCCTTTGTTTAAAAATGTTTGTTTTAAAGTAAGAAACTCAGGATTTAGTACAGTTTTGATTCATGGAATAAGACTTCATTTTTTATCTGTTGGCATTAAAGTACACAGGCTTTCGTGTTGCTATTTTACTTTCTCCTTCCTTTTCAAAATTGTTCTGGCAATATTTTATTACTTAGCTATTAAATGGACAACATTATCTTTCTCAGTTTCCGTTACTGCTCATTTTTTTTAAAATTCTTCTTCTACGTCATTTTTCTCCTTTCTCTCATACATTATACTACACTAAGTATACCAGGAAAGTTAAATTTGGTTGCATTAATCAGGGCTTAAATTCAGCAGTAGTTCCAGATACATCTAAATTTTTGACAGAAATTCCAAGCTTCGGTATACTGTTATGCAGCTGAATCGCTATATTAGCATCAGAATCTGTTAATCACGTAAATTTTATTTTATCAGTAATAAAATTGACATTTGCGCCAGCTACCGAATAATGCCTCAGTTTTCTTTCTTTCTTTTTTTTTTTTTTTGAAAAGCCCAATACCTGGAAAACAATTAAGCATGTAAAGAACAATCCCCTGTTTCGAAACGTTTACTTTTTCAAGAAGAGATATATTTATGGATGTTATTCATACGGCCAAGAAGACGTAAAAATAATTAGAAGCAAAATTAAGGAAACAATATTATTTGATTTCGAAAATATGATTCAGAATCTTTCTTTCAGCGTTGCTGTACCATGCCTTGTTATCATAAATTTAAATAATCATCTTTCCTTTGTTTTTTCATTTCCTTTTTAGGATGCGTTAGTTTAATTTAATTTACAATTTCTTTAATTATAATTACTTTATAAATATTTTCATTCATCTTTTCCACATTTTATTCAACATAATTTGCGTAATAATTCTTTATTATTTGTGACTTTATTTATTTGTTTCCTATTGTCATCTCCTGACGGCTTCCCATTGAGCTTGGCACTTCTAGTTTTAAAAATAAGCTCTGGTTTTAGTTATGGATTGCTAAGACAGCAGTTGATCACTTGATCCATTTTTGGTTAAAATTATCATGAGAAGGAAGTACATTAAACTTATTAGAGCATAACCATTAACCTTTTTATAACATTCGTATAAATTTTTTTAATATTTATAAATTTTGATAAAAGTAGCTTAAATTAATAAAAATCTCGCGAACAGTTTAAAGTACTCATACTTTGTTGCAGGAATGGGAGATATTCGATAATATATATTATAAACCGAATTTTCTCTTCATGAAGACTGCAATGTTTCGTGTCCAGTTGCTGGTCGGTATCCTGTCTATCGCGTGCTCGAACATATACATAGAGCATACTCAGAATGAATTCCTGTATTTATGCGACATTGGAAGTCGTAAAATATTGTCAGTTTTCGCTCTTTGAGCGTTTTAATACATCTAACCTCTTTCTTTTTCCTCCCTCCCCTTTCTGAGGAACATTTATCAACTTTATCAACTTTCTTGAAACTGGAGAAGGGGAGGTCGAACCTACAGAAATAACGGCACTTTTCTTCCTGAATTACCAACAGAAAAGAACGGAAAATGTTGAAACCGAAAATTTTATAAGAACCTGCGTTTTTGTTTAAAATATTTACATATTATTACATAAATCCAGAAATCAGTATCTCATTTGCGATATTTATCTGCCCATTGACTTCTATCATGATGATCCATTCCATTCCGTTATGATGTCCATTATCCATTCCAGGATCCCGTTGACTGCCATGGATGCACATAAAATGCCCGTTTTATGTGTTTGTGGGGAGGGGACTAAATGAAACCCAGTTTTAATAAGAAAATTATGAAACACAATAGGTCATTATGCTGTATTTCTATATCTCATATTTTTGATAACATCATTGCCACAACTGAGAGTAAACCATAGTTAAGGTTATCGTCAGTAAGATCTAATAGTGAGTAGTACAGAGCTTGTCATTTGCTTTGGAGTTATGTAGGTTCTTTTTGAGAATAGGTGGCCGAAACATTGTTTTTGTCATCTCTTTTTAGACCAAAAGGCTTCTGGAGGAGTTTTAAATGAAAAAGCCATTAATGTGCCATTGAACAAATTAATTTATTTGTTTGTAATATCATATCTGACATCTGCTCGTTGAAAGTCAAGACTTGCTTTCCTTATGTTCTTTTCTTTTCTTTTTTAAATTTCATATCAGACATTTATTCATGGACAGGAGTATTTATTTCATTTTACATATTAAGGTTACAGAAAATTTCATTTTCCATTAGAAGGGGGGGAAGTTATTATGTTATCATTATTATACAAATTTTATTGGGAAAAAAGCAATTCCAATTATTGATTGTTCTAATAATGATTTTCTGTTTTTCATAGCATTCAGTCCTAAAAAATCATTGAGATTAAATATTTGATTCTCAGACGTTGATATTTTCTTGTTCAGTTTTAGCAATATCTAAATCAATAGTTCTAATTCAACTTCAAAACTGACATTATAAATTTCTTTCTTTTTATTTGGGAGGAGGAGTATCATTATTAAAAGTTTAGCTGACTTATCTTTACGTTCGTAATAACACTTGCTAAAAAATATATCACTTTAGGGAAAAGAAGTTTTAGTTTTGTGTAGTGCATAGCAGCAAATAACATTATCTACTGCCTTTGTTTGGGGCTACCAACGTGCCATCAACATCTTAAGCTTAATCAGTGTCGAGATGAGGTTTTCGGCCAATGAAAAGAGACTAGAAGCAAGGGTCACATAACCTTCAGTACGATAAACTCGTTTTTTGCCTTCTCGGGCTCAAATAGAGCTGGAACTTCTTTCTACTGAGACAGTTGTTGTTGATTTCCGTGTGAGCGCTGCCGGTGTGCTTAGGGACTGCAGATCATGCCTCCGGGTGAACAACTAGCACCACCTTCAGCGGATGTTGTATATTATAACAAAGAGTTTTTGAACAAAAGAGATCAGAAAATTTACTGCTACTATTGGAAACCGGCTGAAGTTCCAAAGTAAGTGTGATTTTACAAAATAAATGTCCTTTTAAATTTTCTGTTGAACACCTTTAAAAAAAGTAGAGGAATATAAGCTTTGTTTCATATTATTTCTTTCAGTATTCAAAATTTTATCCATGATTGTAAAATCTTCATAGCGTCTCCGTAAGTAAAGGTGAACGTGAATTTTACTATTAAGGGAAGAAATGATTCAAAAAATTTCTCAGCTACAATGTTTTTATTCAGGGGCGTAGCTAGAGGGGGGGGCATTTGTTCCCGGGCGCAGAATCCAAGGGGCGCCAAACTGATGTTACGACATTTTAGAATAAAATTTTTTCCATCCTTGGCAAGCAGTAGGGGGCGCAAAATCTTCAGTTGTCCCTGGGCGCTGAAAACCCTAGCTACGACTCTGTTTTTATTATACTCTTATTAAATTCAATAAAATAAAGAAATGTGTCATTATCCTACGAATTTAAAAGCCCACGGTCCTCTCTGACTGCACAGTAATTTTCAGTATTCGAAGCTGGTATGCACTCTTTTTTCTTGATGTTTTTAGCTCTATCAGTGGCTGAATGGTTAAAACCCCCGAGTACTGGTAATTCGAACCCAGTGCTGAGTATATATTTGAATTTCGTGTTTTTCCCAATATGTAACATGAATATGAGCCAGTTTCTCGTAAGTTCTTCATTCTTCCCTTCCCTTAAGCAGATACTCCTCCTCTGATGCTTTGGCATATTCAGATAAACTCTTAATAACGTTTTTGAATTCAAGTTTGCAGCGTTAATATATGTTTTAGAACATAAAATCAGGTTTTAGAAAATAAGCTTGCAAAGGATCGGAAAGCAATCATAATGGTATCCTTCATTAAACTGCCGGCTTCTGTACGCAGGCAAACAAGCCGGCATAAAGGTACGGTGCCTTATGTTGAAGCACCACTATTTAAGTACATTTCTCTTATCAGTCAGAGCAGCAAATGAAAATCCTACTTGCATACCGGTGCACTATATAAATGTGCCATGATATAAAACTGCGCGATATAAAGGTGCCCGTCTATTTATGAAAGCAACTTTTAAAAACTGATTTTAATGAGATTACAGTCACCTTTATTCAGGTGTAAAAACTTTTGTCTTGGCAAACAACAAGCTGACCATCCTTACCGTGATGCACAATTATGCAACAGTTCCAAAGATTGATTCAAGAACGTCATGCAGCTTAGGAAATTGTTTGAATTAATAAATTAAAACAAAAGTGCGCATTCTAGTCAGTTAAGGCCCTACTTTTAATCTTTCTAATTGCTCTTCAGCCTATTATTCAATAAGTTACCATTTTACGCTTAAATATTGACAGATTTCTTATTAGAGGTTCCCTGTTTTAAAAATGAGTCTTAAGCTGCAAGATTAGTAAATGCATTAATCTTTATTTAAAAAAGGTCAGTGTTTTCTTATAATTTTTCGAGGGGGGGGGATGTATTGCTCATTTGTTTAACAACACTAAGTGTGCAACAAATTATATTAATGCGAATGAGGAAGCACGTAAATGGATCTAGGATTGAATTATTTTATTAAGTACACGAAGGGTATTTGCCTAAATTCTATTTCAGTTTTAGTCGACAACATCTCAACGAATAAAATTCAAAGGTCTTATATCTTTCTTCCTGTCACCAACGTCTCCAAAAAACTTTTGGAGCGAGAAATTTTAAGTGCCTTTTCTTCTGAATAGACGCTTTACAATAACAAAATTCGAAATCGATTTCAGCGGTCAGCTTTCACTAACAACAGTATCTAAAACGGATTTTCTAACATAACTGAAAATATCAGACTTCGTTAAAATTTACACACTCAGTTTTTTAAGGCGTTCTTTGATAAATTATTTTTTAGCAGCGCGATTTTTGATTTAGTTTTTTATCTTTAGAATTCTTTACATATGTTTACATTTGAATATACGCAGGTGAGACAATGATTAGACCCTTATATGATGATTTAACCAACCCGGTGATCAATCTGAATATTTAAATTTATGTGCATGTCACACATTTTAAATAGAGAAAAAGTGAAAATTTGTACGCCTGTGTTTATAATACTATTAACTTTTTCCAGATTTAAATTTAGTAATAATAATTCTTATCCCAGAAGAAAAATAAAAGAGAATCATTCATGTGTCAAGAAACAATGAGGAAGATTTTTGTAATAACTCGACAAGATTTCTTAATAACTCGAATATTGCGTGATTCATTCTCGATGAAAAGAAGATTGCCTGCTTTAAGTTGGCAACGTTTTGAGAAATATTATCAAATTAGCATTAAATAAGGTACAGGTGAAACGTGTTAACACTAATTTAAACTTTTGTAAAAGTTGAAATTTAGCCTCTATTTGATGCTAAAAAAAAAAAAAAAAAAAAAAAAAAAAGAGGCCAATTTCAAATTGTGAATAACGAATGAACTGCTGTATTTTTTTTAAATGAATTTAACATCTTGTTTATTGAAATTAAAACAAATAAAAACTGAATTTTGACAAAAATTATTTGAAGGAAACTGACAATTTATTAAGCAGATAAATAATTAATTTATCTCATTCCAATGTTCAAATAAATAATTTATAGCATCAGTGTGATTCACATTTTATTTCTTCCTGTTATTTAGAAAGTTACCCCTACAAATACAATTGTTAAATCAGTTAAGTAAATACTCGTATAATCAGACGTCTTATCTTATCATAGCTTATCGTATCTTAAACAAATAGCTTATTTCAAGAAAAAGAAACAAGATAAAAAATTAGGTTAATAAGTCAAGTTCATTTATTGCCAATTTTGGTTTTATAAATTTACCATAAGCAGGCAATTGAAGCAAATTTCTGTCTGAGAGTATTCTAGAACGTAACTATTTTCAATAATAAAATCGCATAACTATATACAGTGACAATAAAATTTTAACTAAATCTTGAGACACCAAATATGACTCTTAGACTATTCTTTCGTATTCTGCAGAAAAATTTGGTTTTAATTTAAGTAATCTTGATGCAATTAAGATACCTAACTGATCGCTACAGCTATAGTTTTAATTTCTCGGAATCCATCAGTGTATGACAGTAATTCAAAGATTTAGCAACATGCAATGTAGTTAGTTGCTTGTAGAGTCATTAGTTGTTTTTGAAGCGGGAGACGTGAAATACGCGCAATGCCCTCGCCGGGACTCGAACCTGGATCTCTCGAATACGCGCTGAGTGTGATACCGTTATATCATGAAGGCACGCTGGAAAGGCGGGATAAACTACCTTATATACTTCTCCTTTTAAAGGGCGACTGGGAATTAAGAGACCCTATCGCCAAATCCTGGTGGCGACGAATTATTGTCCACCACCTTTTAGTCCCAGTGCCACTTGTAGGGTATTTTAGAATTTTTCAAAAACAGGAAACTGAAGAAATCCGCAATGCCCTCTCAGGGACTCTCTCGAATACGCATTGAGTGTGCTATCGTTACACTACCGTATGTAGCATGCTGGAAAGAGGGACTAACTCGAATACGCAATGAGTGTGCTATCGTTACACTACCGTATGTAGGCATGCTGGAAAGAGGGACTAACTCGAATACTTGTGTGCTATCGTTACAATACGTATGTCTGCATGCTGGAAAGAGGAACGAAGAATGATTGTGCTATCGTTACACTACCGTATGTAGGCATGCTGGAAAGAGGGACTAACTCGAATACGCATTGAGTGTGCTATCGTTACACTACCGTATGTAGGCATGCTGGAAAGAGGGACTAACTCGAATACGCATTGAGTTTGCTATCGTTACACTACCGTATGTAGGCATGCTGGAAAGAGGGACTAACTCGAAATACCATTGGGTGTGCTATCGTTACACTACCGTATGTAGGCATGCTGGAAAGAGTGACTAACTCGAATACGCATTGAGTGTGCTATCGTTACACTACCGTATGTAAGCATGCTGGAAAGAGGGACTAAGTACCTTATATGCTTATCAGTTTTCCTATGCATATTTTCGGTATCTTAGAAAAGAACGAATAAAACTAGTTTTATATAAACTTCCGTTCTGTTTCATGATTAAAATCCTCATGCCATCCTTCTAGTTTCGGTAAAAGACATCTAAAACGTCAAGAAAAGTTCGAAAATTCAGATAAGAAAAATTTTTTCTTTCTTCAGCAACAGCGGAATGCAGTTTTACACTTTGTAAGGATAAATAACTTTGTAAGGACTTAATTTTATTAACAGTTAAATTTTAAGTTAAAGTTCCTTTCCTGTCAAATTCTTAACTTCGACTTACTACTTCCGGCCAAAACGTAGTTTTGGAATCTTGTGAATATTTAAGAGGAGGTCGGTATTTAAACCACGACGTTTCTTCTGAGTCAGAGAGAATCAGTTTCTGATTTAGCGCGTCTGCCTTTTTGGCCACTCTCTCTCAAACTGTTTTCGCTCGGCCGTACCAGGCCCTGCTAAGCTTCGTAGTCAAATAAGTTAAGGGGCTTAACTCGATTAACCTTGATCGTTAGGCTATACTTCTTTAGTTAATCTTGTTTTAGTTTTAATTCTTCGTCTTTTAAGTTAAGATTAAGTGCGGGCTTTGCTTGTAAACTCCAGCGGGTTTTTGTTAAATCCTTATTGAATAATAAGGGTTGTTACCCTTCTATCTGTTATTTCTTGTCACCGAACTCAAGCGATTATTCGCTTATCAGTTCTTAGATTCTTCACTTCCAACATTAACTTAGAATTCCGAAGTGAGGAACTCTACAACTTTACAAAATGATTGCATAATATTTTCTCATCATTTTCTGCAGAATGAATTTATGAAACAAATAACATTTAAACAACGATGCGACAAAGATTACTACAACTGCCAAAACATTAACAAAATTTTTGTAATCTTTAGTTAAAAATCGTTTTTTAATTTCTTCCTAGTATCTTTAAAATTATCAGTATCCTATAAAAATAATTTCAGGCACCGAATTGATCTGTACGTTCATTTTATGAACACGACTAACAGTGAGATTTAATAAGGTATT